TGCATATATCCCCAGTAGTGGGATTGCTGGGTCATATGGTAATTCTATTTTTAGTTGTTTTTTTTTTTTGAGGTACGCAGGCCTCTCACTGCTGTGGCCTCTCCCATTGCGGAGCACAGGCTCAGCAGCTGTGGCTCATGGGCCCAGACCCTCCACGGCATGTGGGATCCTCCCGGACCGGGGCACGAACCCACGTCCCCTGCATCAGCAGGCAGACCCCCAACCACTGCACCACCAGGGAAGCCCCCAAAACATTTTTGAACTGTTTTTAACATCTTTCTAGTTCCTTTACCAATTAATGAGTTAACGAAAATATTTGACATGTATTCATTCTATATTTGTCTAAGAGTCATAATTCTACCTTTTTGAAAATTATAATTTAGCAAGTGTGGTGCAAGGTTGAAACCGTGCACCTCAGATTGGGACTTGAACCCACTCGGTTGGGACTCAAACCCGGCCAAAACCCACAGTCTTCCAACTGAGATCACACACCTGGTTTTAGGACTTAATGAAGTCCAGGTTCTTGATGTCTCATTGCAGAAACACTTCAGTGAGAAACAAAGTGATAGGTAAGAAGTGGATTTATTTAGAGAGAAACACTCTCCACAGATAGAGTGTGGGCCATCTCAGAAGGTGAGAAAAGGCACAAGGGTGTGGGGTTGTCAGTTTTTATAGTGGTGGGTAATTTCATAGGCTAATGAGTGGGAGGAGTATTCCAGCTATTTCAGGAAGGGGCAGGGATTTCCAAGAATTGGACTACCACCCACTTTTTGATCCTTATGGTCACCTTAGAACTGTCATGGCGCCTGTGGGTGTGTCATTTAGCTTGCTGTTGTGTTACAGTGAGCATATACTGAGGCTCAAGGTCTAGTGGAAGTTGGCTTGTCCACCATGTGGGACCCATTTGGTTCTAATCCATTTATGTCATGTCCTCGGGCTATGTCATTCTTTTAAATGTTGTGCCCTGCCCCCTTCCTTCCTGTTTCAAGGTCTGATATCCCATATTCAGGCAAGGGCTCTTCCTGATTTGAGAATAAAAACAAATGTGTTGAAACCACACAACTCAGATGGGTCTTGAACCCAGCAAAAACTCAAATTGGGGCTTGAACCCACTGTCTTTTAATTAAAATCGCACACCTGGCCTCAGTACTTAATGAAGCTTAGGTTATGTCTTGGCGCAAAAGGAATTCAGGAGAGGCAAAGTGATAGGTGTGAAATGGATTTATTTAAAGATACACATTCCATAGACAGATTGTGGTTTGTCTCAAAAGGCAAGAGCGGCCCTGAGGGAAACACTCCACAAACAGAGTGTGGGCCATCTCAGAAGGCGAGAGGCCCCAAAATATGGGATGGTTAGTTTTTGTGGGCTGGGTAATTTCATAGGCTAATGAGTGGGAGGATTATTCCAACTATTTTGGAGAAGGGGTGGAGATTTCCAGGAATTGGGCCACCGCCCACATTTTGGCATTTTATGGTAGGCCTCAGAACTGTCCTGGTGGTGGTGAGTGTGTCATTTAGCTTATGCTAAAGTGTTACAATGAGCTTATAATGAGGCTCATGGTCTACTGGAAGTCAAATCTTTTGCCATCTTGGGCCTAATCGGTTCTAACCAGTTCTGTCGTGTACTCAACAGCTATGTCATTCTTTTAAATGTTGTGCCCTGCCCACTACTCTCCTGTTTCACTGTGACCATATTTCCATTATACTCCTCTGTATGGATGTCACATGAAATGCTCATCAGTCCTTTAAACTCTCACCCCAAAAATCCTACTCCAAGAACTTTTATTTGGCTTACTAATCCTAAAGAAACTCTAAAGTTAACAAGATTCAAAGGGGGAAAAAAAAATAAACCAGAAAGAAAAAATAAGCCATACAAAAAATGTGGAGCAGCCATAGAGAAAATGCTTTAAACCTCCATAAATCCCAATCAAATTTTAGCCAGCTCTGAGAAAAATTACTATTTGGCTCACGTCCCTTATTTCTCTTACTCTCCAGTCAACCTCTCTTTCAAATTTTTAATACAAATCAGCGCACTCCCTGCGCTCCCCATCTCTTAGCTAATTCTTCTGAAACAGGAGGGAAGGATGCAAGGCACAACCTTTGAAAGTGACATAGCCCGAGGACATGACATAAACTGACTAGAACCAAATGGGTCCAAGATGGTGGACAAGTTGACTTCCGCTAGACCTTGAGCCTCACACACAGGCGCCATGACAGTTCCAAGACCAACCATAAGGATCAAAAAGTGGGTGGCCCAATTCCTGGAAATCCCCTCCCCTTCCTAAAATAGCTGGAATACTCCTCACACTCTTTAGCCTATGAAATTACCCACTGCTATAAAAACTGACAACCCCATACCCTTGTGCCTTTTCTCACCTTCTGAGATGGCCCACACTCTGTCTGTGGAGGGTGTTTCTCTCTAAATAAATCCACTTCTTACCTATTACTTTGTCTCTCACTGAATTCTGTCTGTGATGAGACATCAAGAACCTGAGCTTCATTAAGTCCTAAAACCAGGTGTGTGATCTCAGTTGGAAGACTGTGGGTTTTGGCCAGGTTCGAGTCCCAGCCACATGGATTCAAGTCCCAATGTGGGAATTGGCGGGATTCGAGTCCCGGCACGTGGGTTCAAGTCCCAGTCTGAGGTGCACGGTTTCAGCTGGCAACCACGAAGGGACAGTGATAAGGTAAGAAAATGTTGAGAGTTAGGTCTTGGTTCTAAAGAGGCCCGTGGGATGCCATGAGCCAGGCATACTGGGGAAGACGCTCTGCTGATGTCTGCTCAGTTTTGACCAGTGGGTCAACCCCGTATACTTATGCACATCCAACAGTAAGTCCAGGACAGAATTATTAATCTCTACACTCTTCTCTTTGACTCTCAGGTTTTTCTCCTACATTCTTGTATTCTTGTTCATTCCTGCTCTATT